CACGCAAAATAGAGCCAGAGGCATGGAGACATGGAACGGACTGACAGCAACAAGAGGAGAGACAGGAGCGGGGCAAGGTGGAAAGAAGGGGAAGGGACTAGTCAAAGAACGTGCATGAATGACCCATGGACATGGACAACAGTGTCGGGACTGACTGCGGGAGCAGGTGGTGGGCTGGGTGGAGAAGAGCAAAGGAGGAAAAACTGGGACAACTGTAACAGAACAATAAAAAATTTTTTAGAAAGAACATACACCCTATACATTTTTACAACTAGCAAAGACCCATAAAAAAAATGATAAAAACAAAGTATACTCCCTAACTGTTAACTCTAAGAATTAAATATCCTCCAACCTAAATGTCAAGACTCTATAGACGTTTAGTAATTTATTAAATCATCAATCATCATGCATTTTATGTATATGTTAACAGGATCTCTGTGAATTTTATTAATTTAAGTGACTGGAATTTGTATCCCCATTTTTGGAAGGAATTTTGAAACAAATTCACTTAAGAAACTTGGAAATTACTAAGCATCATTAAGCTAGCAAAATAACACTCTATACCCAGCACCAGTTCAGGCCAACGGAGGAGGGGCCAAAAAGAAAACGAAAAAGATTTCACATTTAAGCCAGAGCATAAACAGAATTTATACTATCCCACTGTCACTTAATAAAGTTGCTTTTTATTCATGTCCTCACATGTTATAGAAACAGAGGCCATTATTAGTGTGACATATCTTGACTTTGCTCCATCACTTTTATTTTAAACAACTTCTGTAAGCAACTATTCTGCATGTCCTGTGCAAGATGGTTTATATCAGTTATCTCTAATCTCTGCAATAATTCCCCAAAGCAAGTAATATTATCATCATTTTACAAATGAGTAAATACTGCCTGGGCAAAGTCTACTAAGTTGTTCAACTCAGTAGAAGAATCCTGAATCCAAATACGGTACATGACACATGCTTTTCCGTTCAGAAAGCATGGTCACCATGTGCTCACCCTCAAGAGTGACCCTCAAATCAAAGCAAATAACCAGGCCTTCTTTCCACTAACATAAATCAGCAGAACCAAAATAACACTGGTTTTCATTTAACAATAAATGGGCCTTGGCCGGCCACCTCAGTTGGTTACAGTATCATACTAACACACCAAGGTTGCCGCTGGACCTCTGGTCAGAGCACATAGAAGAAACCACCGATGAATGAATGGATGAGTGGAACATCAGATCGGTGTTTCTCTCTCTCCCTGCCTGTCTCCCTCCCTCTCTCTTCCTCTACTCTCTCTCTCTATAAATCAATCAATAAAAATTTTTAAAAATAAATGTTTAAAATGTACAGTACCATCCCCACAAAGTATTCCAAAAGAATGAAAACTACGTTAATTTAAATTCTCTAATGACTAATAAGACACGTGGATATTATTCACTTCAAAACTGTTAACCCCGGGATTCCTCCCACGACCACTTGAAGATCTGATTCTCTCTCCGATAACACATATCATCCGGCATCAACTGTGAGACTTAGAACAAGCGAGGGAGTTTCCCCTAAGGTAAAGTTCATCTGCTCGGCTTCAGCTGACCGGCCCGGAAAGGCGGAGCAGATGAAAATGCTCCCGTCTTCAAGCACTTACCTGCTCCTGAGAGCCTCTTCTTGGGGCTCTGCTCCCCCGAAATCCACCGGGGGCACATCTTTGGCCTCTGCTGGCTTCGGGTCACAGGCCTCTGCAGGTTCCGGCGGCCTGGGAGCCTCTTGTCCACGCTGGGGATTGGGGGTAGTGGAGCACCTTGTGCCCACACCAGGCCTGACATTCGGCTTCACGCTAAGGCGTGCCCTGCGGAACATGGCGGAGCCACGGGGCCCGGGGAGGCGGCCCTACGGCCGCTCTAAGCCCCGAGCCCCGGCCGCTGCCCGGAAAGGGGGTTAAGAACTACGCCCCTCCCACAAAGGCACAAACCAGCCCGGCGGGCAGCTACAGCAGATTCACGCCCCCGCCGCCTCCAGCAGCCTCCCGCCGCCGCCTCTTCTTCATGACCCTGCTACAGTAACAGCTAAATTTCCCCCTACACCTTGCTCCCCGCCCTCAGAGGGAGCCTAAATTCATTACGTCATCACCGAGCGCTGCGGAATGACGTTAAGACGCACAGCGCCCGGAGCCATGGTAACTGTCAAACTACAGATCCTCGATTGCCGGTGAACCAGAAACAGACGCAAGAAGGTGTGCTCTCCCCTCTCCGGACGTCCTTAGAAGTTGTTGAAAAGAAAGAAAGGAGGCAGTCAATCCCTCAGTCCAAAATTTTACGGGAACTATTAAAATAGCTGGCCGATTTTGTTTTTAGAGGGTCCTGTAGAGCAGGGCTTGGTCTCCAGCACATGCCCAAGGCCCAGAAATTCTAAATTGAGTAGAACATAGATTAGAAATTCAGGTGTGAAGCAACTGATAATAGTTACCTTCTAGGAAAAGAACTGGGTTTCTGGGAAACGTGTCGTGGGAGGAAGAGCATTCACTGTATGTGCTTGTGTACTTTTTAAGGTGAATATATTGTCTGTTCAAAAATGATTACAGTTAAAACTCTGAAAATTAATGTGAGTATTCTTAATCTGCTACAGGAAGTAGCAGTAGAGCAATAAACAGGTATTTTGGGTAGGGAAGGAAAAATACAACAAACAAATGAACAAGACAACTTAAGAATGCATTAAGCGCTGTAAAAATATAAAGGGTAATGTCACAGATTAATAGGAGACAGGCTTTCTTTAAGTTGGATGGTTAGACAAAGCCCCTATGATAGAGGAAAACTGGCCACAGAGGGGGTTAGATCTACAGAGTATGGGCCTGTTTTTGAACATGCAATGCAAATACCCTGACTTGTGGAAACATAAAGGTCTCATCTTCTTCTTGGAAGGATAATATGACTCTACAAGAACATCCTGCTACATTAATAACAAAATGTCAAAGGAATAAAATACTGAACTGACTGAAGAGATTGCTAAGTCATCCAGGGAGAAAGAACAAGTGCTTTTGACAGTAGGAAGGGAAAGCTGAAACCACGGGGGCTGGGTGGGGAAGATTGCTCTAAGACTTGAAAGAAAATGAAGTTTCATGAGTTCTGTGGGCTTCCGCTAGTATTCTGGGGAGGCAAGAGAACCTCACGTACACCTGAAGAATTTCAAGAGCTTTGACCAGGCACCTCAGTTGGGTAGAGAGTTGTCATCATTTGCCAAGGTTTTAGGTTCAATCCCCTGTCAGGGCACATATGAGAAGCAACCAAAGAATGCATACAAATCAATGTCTGCCTGCCTGCCTGCCTGCCTGCCTCTCTCTTTCTCCCTTCCACTCTTCCTCCCTCTTCTTCTCACTCTCTCAAATCAATGAAAGAAAGAAGAAGAAGCTCAAGAAATAAATAACAACAACAAAAACCCTGCTGGAGGTGTCTCAAGAATCTGTGAGCCACTGCCAGGACCATATAGCTTTGGACAGCATATTCTGGTATAATCGGAAGACACAAGGCCTTTCCTCAAATGTTCTGTTCTGTTCCATGTAAGCGTCTAGGGTATCTCCATGATTCTGCAGGTAAGAAAGTCAATAATGACTAAGATTTAATTTCCCATTAGTAAAGGGATGAGAACAAAGTCAGATTTAATTTTAGTATTAAAGTCAAAATATGTGTTACACACCCGAATTTACAGAGTAAATCCTTAATGGCATCACAGTACTTTTTAAATTTGGCAGTTTTTACTGGCAGACACACCCAACACTTCTCATGTACATGCTGTACATCATGTGTATCCCTACAATTCAAAAACTGTATTTCAGCTGCAAAGAAAAAGCTCAATGAGGCTGTACATTAAGGCCATTTACAAAAACAACTTTACCACTTACTTTTTTATCCTAATTCCTTCCCTCCCTTGTACATTATGTCTTTATGCCCATAAAGAACCTGGACAGAAAGTCCATCTTTTCCTCCTGCTCAAGTTATTCCGGGAGAGGTTCGCTAAGTGGAAACAGACACCTGTCCTGCAAACTGTATTGAGGAGGAGAGGTGGCATGTCGTGAGTGATGAGCAAGGCTCTCAGCGATTAAAGGAATGAAAATAACAGCTAACATATTGAGTGCTAATTGAGGGTAATTTTAGGGCGTCCGGAATAATTCTACACTTTTCCCAGTTTGTAATGGTTAACAGAATAGATGAAGAAAATAAGTACCAACCAAATAACTACCAAGCATCTTTGTTTGTATGTTTCTAGCAATGGCAGATGCTCCACAGCTTTTACGTGGGGTCTAAGGTTGTTCGGCGCTGCTCTAAGTACGTAGTGAGGCTGTATCTCCTGCCATCCTCTCCCCATCACACAACCCAAGCACAAAACCATTAACTTAAAACTCCTGAAGTACCGTCGACTGTGATGAGGGCACTGGAATAAAATGGGAAATGAGCAGACTTTAGAGACCGTCTTAAATTTGAATCTCACTTCTACCAGTCCCTATAGCTGTTAGGTTAGTAGCTTCTGGTCAGAGCCTCAGTCTCCTCCTAGTGAACGGAGAACAGTGATGTCTGCCTACCTTTGCAGGGTTGGTGAGAGAATAAGGAAGGGCATTACTGGCCAAACGCTGCTTTTGCGTTAACCTCAATATGCCTTGTCTCACTCATCTCTTTCCCGCTGCCGCAAGGGGATGAATGAGGAAAGCTAGCATTCTTTGTCGTTAAGTTAGATATTATAGCATTTATTGTCATTTCCCAAAAGTGGGAGCTGGTCAAGCATCAGTGCCAGGTACCCGGTGGGGGAAATCCGCACACATCTATCCCTCTCTCTTAGACACAAGACCTGTTTTCAGGTTTCTACCCAACTTGAAAGTGAGAAGACGCCCGGGGCGAAGGTTAATTCCCTGAGCCGCGGCGCCGGGCCGAGTCAGCCCAACCCCACCCTCCCCGCCGCGCACGCGCACGGGCTTGCCAGTGGCGCGGGTCCCCGTAGTGTGGTCTCGATGGGCGGGGCGGTGGACCCGGCAGAGGCGTGGTCCGGCGAAGGGCGGGCACTGGCTCAGTCTTCCAGATCCGTCGCCGAGGACGTTCGCTGAGCCAGCGAGGAGGCTGTTGCTTTTCCTAGTCGCTCTTTCCCAAGGCTCGGTCCGCTGGTCCGCATGGCCCGTGAGTGTGCGGACGAGTTGTGGGAGCGGCGGGGAGCGTCCGGCCAGGAAGCCAGTGGATCACCGAGGCGCGGCTGACGGGGAGGCGGGGGCTGGCCGGTGAATCCCCTTGGGTCAGGCAGGGCGGGGACCCCCTCGTCACGCAACAGAGGTAGGGACGCTTGGCTTCGGTCCAGCCTGAAAAGGGTGCTTGACCCTCAGGTGCGAGTCTACACGGCAAAGAACACCTCCCCGGAGGTGAGGTGTGTGAAGCCCGCAGCCCCGGAAGGGGTCCTGGTTTTGAGGAGGTTCATAGCTAGTACTTAAAATCAGAAGGCCTAATAAAAACTGGGAGCTCCGACCGAGTCTCCTCCCTAGTTCTTTTGTTTGGCCCTCGCAGGTAATGTTTCACAAGCGTCTGCATTTGCTTAACAGTTGGCTTGTGATGGGCCAACTTGTGCGATCTCTGTATCTTTTTCTTTGCACCCACGCCCCGCAGAAGCTAGAACTTATTTTGGAATACTGGCTCATATATACAGACGATTGGGATGGAATGCCCGGTTTAAGAGATCTGGTATTTACAGCCAGTGAACACCTTGATTGGTATGATAATACTTTTAAGACCTTAAATGTTTACCTTTAAGCTTCCTCCTTGTGGTCAGATCTGGGAACACCACTCAGTGCAGTAGTTTGCTGACTTATCTATTAAAAAGCAAACTTCAGATGCAGTTAAGTAAGAGCCTTGTAATGGAATTACTACTTTTGGAGACGGGAAGAGAGTATGACTGTTTCTCTTTGTAGGTGGAAATCAGCGAGAACTTGCCCGCCAGAAAAACATGAAGAAAACCCAGGAAATTAGCAAGGGAAAAAGAAAAGAGGATAGCTTGACTACCTCTCAGAGAAAACAAAGGTCAGTAATACTAATAGAATTCTCAAGTCATTGAAGTTTTCATTGTGGAGAATGGAAAGCCTTTTTTAAATTCGTGGTAGAACTAGACCTAACCTGCAGAATGGGGCAACAGTTGAATATTTATTGTGTGCCAGGCATGCTAAAAATATGAGGTAGTTATCCCAACCTATGGATGAAGAATTTAAAGCTCCCAAGCTTTACTTTGTTTTGCAGAGGACCTCATGTAACTCCACCACAACCATAAGAACATCATTTAGCAAAATAATTGAATGCCTTCCATATGTCTACTGTTAAGTGCCAATAAAAAAAATACAATATTTTTTGTTATTCTATTAGAGTCATCCTAGTTTTTCTCCCTTTGCTCTCCAGTGCCCAGCCCATACCCCACGCCCACTGCCAGTCCCCACACTGTTGTCCATGTCCAGTCCATGGGTCATTCACACATGTTCTTTGACTAGTCCCTTCCCCCTCTTTACACCATTCTCTCCCCCCCACCCATTGCTGCAGCATTTTCAAAGCAGACATTGTATCCCAACTAGTGTAGATGACACGTAATGATAACTGTTCTGAAGGAGACAAAGTAAATATATGTAGCTATGTTGACTTCTGAAGATTCATTGGGTTGGACAGAATACAAGTGGATAGCCTTGGTATATGACTATGCATGAAAGATTATACAAAACTGCTACAGGAATACTGTGAGACTGAGCTTAAGTAAAAAAAAAAAAATGCACTCATGTTTCTAAAACAGCTAATCAAAGTTGAATGTTATTCTAAAGTCAAATGTGATCAATGTGGAACTTGGAGGTCAAGTGAATAATTGACTAAACATGCTTTAATGTAGCTTCTCTGTAGTCTTCAAGCCTGGCTTCACATTAGAATCACCTGCAAAACTTTGGAGCCTGTTCAGACTATTGTGCCCTATACCCAGTCCTGATTTACCTGGTAATTGGCCTGAGGTTAGACATTGAAAGGTGTGCCTGGGCAGTGTGCTCAGTTGGTTATAGCATCGTACCTGAGACCAAGAGGTCTCAGGTTCAATTCCCAATCAGGACACATGCCTATGTTGCAAGTTCGGTCCCTTTGGGGCATGTGCAAGAGGCAACTAATGGATGCTTCTCTCTGGCATCGATGTTTCTCTCCGTGTCTCCCCCTCTAGTGGGCATGTCCTCAGGTGAGAATTTAAAAGGTGCTCTGGATAAATGTTATTGTACCTTAGTTAAACCTAATTTAAAAAAAAAACTCCCCAGGTGATCCTGATGTACAGCTAGAGTTAAGAATCATTGTTTAATGAGATTGAAGCTTCTAAATACCACTTCATGCTTTCTTCCTATGGCATTTATTATTAAAATAAGTTTTGCCTTGCAGTTCTGTTTACTCATATTAACACAAAAGTGAAAGTGGTACAGATCAGTGATCCTGAAATGGTATTTTTATTGGAAAGTCTAGTCTAGCTTGGCTCAGCAATAGCCACTGTTTAATGAACTCCCACGTCTTAGAAAGCCCTGTGCTGGGTGTCCTGTACGTAATAGTTCTAATCATCACAGTCTTAAAAATATTGGGCTCAATGCATAGAACAGGAAACTGAGGCCGTGTATTCAATAATAATACTAAGGTTATACAGCAAACACGGCAAAGCTTGGATTCAAACAGAAAACTATCACTATTCTTTTCTATGATAACACAGTTTTTTGTAGCTGTCTTGTTTTTCCTTGTTTTTACTATTGGCTTTGCAGAAATATCTTACTGCCATGAACAGAGCTACTTATCCTGAATTAAAGTATAATATAATACTTAATCTATGCAATAACAAGATCGAAAAGAGCGTAGACTTTGCAATTGGACAAAGCTTGGTTTTTACGTGATCTGAGACAAATTATTTTGCTCTAAGCCTTTAATTTTTTTCCTTTTTAAAAAAAATTTTTATCTGAAATGTTAATCTAGAGACAATGAAATGCCTGGCATACATTAGATATTGAATACATAGCCATTATTTTTTTTTTTTAATATAGACATGTTGAACCATTTAGCCCAGGTAGTCTGGTTGTAGTTCACACTTACTATGGCATGTGGAGTTCAGCCAGACACACAAAGCATTAGGAAAATGCCCTGAATGTCTTGTTTCTCTTTAATGTAATCCATTTTTAATCACTAGCTATAGAGCTTTTCGGCTTAGAAGAACCTGAATTGCTTCATTACATCTATGTTCTAATCCTAGTACCAATTAGGATATCTAGGAGACTTCTTCTTTTCTTTTTTCTTTTTTAATTGACTTAGAGACAGGGAGGGGGAGAGAGGGAGAGAGAAACATCAATTTGTTTTTCCTCTTATGTATGCCTTCTTGTATGTGCCCTGACCAGGGTTCGAACACACAACCTTGGCTAGCAGGATGACACTGCAACAACCAAGCTATCTGACCAGGGCTCTAGGAGACTTGTTAAATGCCCCATTTTTTCCCAGGAAAAAATTTAGAGTGAATTAAGTTTGTTGACAACAAAGAATAATTACTATTATTTCTATATACAGTTCTTAGATAATGTCAGATGCTATTATATATATTCATAGCTATTCCTCAGAACAACCCTAATATGTATTGCTCTGATTTTGAAAGTCTGAGGTTATTTGCCCAAGGTTGTAACAGTAGAGATAGATGCTATTCAAAATAAGATCTGATTTCCAAGCCTTCTCATTCTGTCTCCACCCATGAAAATGGAAAGACTTGAATGTTTACATCTTTTAAATTGTCTTCTAATATAATGAATGGGTTATATATAGAAAACAGGGGAAAACAAAATCAGCTTTTCTGTGACAACTTACAGCCTTTTCTCCTATTATAGGGACTCTGAGATCATGCAACAAAAGCAGAAAGCAGCTAATGAGAAGAAGTCAATGCAGACAAGAGAAAAATGATGACTGACAGTTTGGAAAACCTGGGTGCTATTGCCAACTAGGTGTATCGTGAGCTCTATGATCAAGATTTTGTAGAGTGAACAGTCACTACATATGTTATAACAAATCCTTATAAAAACTATTCTAACTTTACCTTTTTGCCTGACTTAGTGTGATGTTTCAAAACCGTTCTTCAAAGAATAAAATACTAACCATGCTGGGGGGAGAGGGATATAAAGGAACTAAATGGTAATGGAAAAAAAAATACAATAAAGATTAAATCAAAATAAAATAAAACATTAACCATGCATATGACATAGTGGTGAACATAATTTTTTAAGTATATTTTATTGATTATGCTGTGACAGTTGTCCATTTTTTCCCCCCTTTGGCCCCCTCCGCCCAGTACCTTCCTTCCTCTGGCATTCCCCCCTGTTAGTTCATGTCCGCGGGTTGTGCATATAAGTTCTTTGGCTCTTCCATTTCCTATATTATTCTTAACCTCTCCCTGACTATTTTGTACCTACCATTTAAGCTTCTTATTTCCTGTACCTTTTCTCCCATTCTCCCCCTTCTTCCTCTCTGCTGATAACCCTCCATATGAGCTCCATATCTATCATATCTATGATTCTGTTCCTGTTCTAGTTGTTTGCTTACTTTGTTGTTTTTTAGATACAGTTGTTGATAGTTGTGAGTTTGTTGTCATTTTTCTGTTCATAGTTTTGATCTTTTTCTTCAGTAAGTCCCTTTAACATTTCATGTAATAATGGCTTGGTGAGGATGAACTCCTTTAGCTTTATCTTGTCTGGGAAGCACCTTGTCTGCCTTTCCATTCTAAATGATAGCTTTGCTGGATAGAGTAATCTAGGTTGTGGGTCCCCGCTTTTCATCTCTTTGAATACTTCTTGCCAGTCCCTTCTAGCCTGCAAAGTTTCTTTTGAGAAATCAGCTGAGAGTCCTATGGGAACTCCTTTGTAGGTAACTCTGCTTTTCTCGCTTTTAAGATTCTCTCTCCATTTGTAACCTTTGGTATTTTCATTACGATGTGTCTTAGTGTGGCCCTCTTTGGGTCTAACTTGTTTGGGACACTCTGTGCTTCCTGAACTTGTAGTCTATTTCCTTTGCCAATTTAGGGAAGTTTGCTTTCATTTTTTCAAATAAGTTTTCAATTTCTTGGTCCTCCTTTTCTCCTTCTGGCACCCCTGTAATTCAGATATTGGCACTTCTGGAGATGTCCCAGAGTCTTGCTCATTTTTTTTTAATACTTTTACCCTGGCTTCCTTCCCTTCACTGTTGGTTGCCTGTGGATTTTTCTTTATTTCACTTAGTGTAACCTTCATTACTTCCCTTAGGCATTTGCAATACTCAATGATTTCTCTGAGCATACTTATCACCAGTGTTTTGAGCTCTGCATCTGATAAGTTGTTTATCTCTGTTTTGCTTAGTTCTTTTGCTGGAGTCTTGACCTGTTCTTTGATTTGGGCCATATTTTTTTGTCTCCTTTATTTTGGAGCCTCCCTGTGTTGTTTCTGTGTATTAGGTAGAGCTGCTTTAAGCCCCTGTCTTGACCCACTTGTTGCATTTTAAGGGGCAGAGCCTTAGGTATTTCCCAGGGTGGGAGAACCCACTTTGCTGCTTCCTGATGCTGTTTGGAGGGGGAGGGGTCAGAGGGAACAATGCTGCTAGCTTGGCACTTGCCTCATTTCCAGTCACTTCCCCCACTTCCCATATGTGCCTAATGCCACTGTAGCTGTTGCCCTGGTGGTGATTTCCAGAGCAGGTGAGTTTGCATACATTCTAGGACCATGGGGACTCTAAACAGACTTTTGAGGACTGGCAGTTTCTTCTACCGCCCCAACCCCCACTGGTTTTTTACAGCTAGGAGTTATGAGGTTTTATTTTCCTGGCACTAGAAACGGGCCGGGCAGGCTGGCTTGGGGCTGGGGTCACTCTCCCCATGTGTCAGTCCTGGTTTTTATCTGCCACAGGTGAACGCGGGGCTGCCCATTCCACAGGCTGCTGCCACTGCCTCGCTGCCGCTGCACACCGCACCCTCTACTCCCTGGGGTCACTGTTGCCGCCCCTCCTACCTGTCTGGATGAATATTTCTTTAAATTCTTGGTTGGACTTGCATACAGCTCAGTTTTCTAGCAGTTTGGCTGCTTTTTGTTTTAAGGTTAATTGTGATCCTTTCATGTTTGTGTGAGAGGGTGAAGCATGTTCTACCTATACCTCCATCTTGGCTAGGAGTCCACTTTTTTTTAATCAGCAATGAATGTGTATGTAATTAATTAGGTAATGTGATCAGATAATACAATCTCATATAAATCTAGGATCTTAAACTTTGATAAGGTAGCTCTTTGAAGTCAATTTTATAATAAAATTTAAGATGCATTTACCTAATTTGGCTTTGTAATGAACTGGTTTGCTTGAAGAATTTACAACAGATAGTACAAATGACCTGGAATAGCAACTAAATGATCATAAACTTAATGAGGTCTCAGTAAGAGTTTTACTTACAGCTTTAATATTTTTTGGAATAAGTGCCTTTTTTCATTTTTTAAAATTTATTGATTTTTAGAGAAAGATTGATATTTAGAGAAATAAGTGGAACAACATTGATTTGTTGTTCCACTTATTTATGCATTCATTGGTTGATTCTTGTATGTGTCCTGACCTGGAATCAAACCCACAGCCTTGGTGTATCAGGACGACATTCTAGCCAATTCATCTACCTGGACAGGGCCGTAAGTTCCTTTTTTGAAAATACTTTATTTTTTTAGAACAGAGTGAGTTTTATAACAAAATTGAGATTTATATAACCCTGCCCCTACATACATCCCCTGCATAGCGTCCCCCATCATGAGCATCCCCCACCAGGGTGGTACACTTGCTATAATTGATGGTCCGACATTGACACATAATTATCAGACAAGTACAGAGTCTGCATTAGGATTCACTCTCTGTGTTGTAAGAGTGCCATTTCTTAGTCTGCCCTGAGACCCTTAAAAAACTTGTGACTTAATGGTTATAAATTTGAAAATAACCTAAAGAAACTAAGGTTTGAGACCTTGTTCTTTTCTGAAGTAAATATGCACAATTATTGCAAAGAATAAAAATACCATTCTAGGTGTCTCATACCGCATAGGCAAACATGAAATCTTTTAGCCTGACTTTTTATCTTCATATTACCACAGATTTTCAGTTAAAGCAAATCTTTGTTCTATTTCTTCAGTTAACTTCACTCTTCAAAACGTTGTATCATGCTAGTCACAAGGGCAAAAGGGTTACAATGGCTTAGGTTACATTCTAATAAAAAGGATAATGAGGAAGCCTGATCACACCACAAAGATTATGGGTCTGATTTCTGTAATTCTATCTCTAGAATTTCTACACGGACAGGCCATGAATACAAGGAACTTTTTATGCTTTAAGCGATATCCTTTATTTGCTTTTTAAAAGAAAGATTTTATGTATTCTTAGATGGGAAGGAAGCGAGAAAGAGAGGGAGAGAAACATGATGTGCAAGAGAAAAAGCAATCGGTTACCTCTTTCATGCCCCCCACTGGAGACCTGACATACAACCTGGGCATGTACCCTGAATGGGAATCGAACCAGCGACATTTTGGTCTGCAGGCTGGCACTCAGTCCATTGGGCCACTCCAGGCAAGGCAAGAGTTTCTCCATTCCAGAAAGTGGCAATCTATTTTTGTATTATATTTTCAAGTTCTACCCTGTAAAGAGAGTTTTTCAGTTTATGGCAGATATACGACTACTGTTAGTTTTGAGTCTGCAATATTTCAAATCTACTGAGCTTTAAAAAGCATATCCCCCCACAATGTATACATATATCAAACCACCTTAAATATATTTAACTTTTGTCAATAATACCTCAGTATTACTGAGGGGAAAAAACATACCCCTAAAGTGAAAACCTACTATAAAATTGACTTTGACAAACAAAAGATTAGATTTGTACATTTTACCATCCGTGTCTTGGTTTAACAGGGATATCAACTAAATAGGGAGTAATCAACTTCTTTAGGTAAGTTCCTAGTTGTCTTTGGTAATGAGGATCTAGAAACAGAAAAATTCAATAAAAAATCAAATTATTTTTATAATTGTCAATCATAATTTTCTATTAGGTCAACACTGAATAAGAACATTTATTAAACTGCCTCCTACAGCTTCATCTGCTAAAGTACTTGCTATATATAATCACATATTGAAATATGCTATTTTTCCAGATGGCCAAGTCATGAAAATATCACTGAAATAGAAAGAATGACTACAAGTTGCTCAAATGTACTTCCCTATGAATTCCAGAAAGATTGAAAACTTCCTATGGGCTTTTCCTTACAACTTTGCTTCTTAAAAACAAAACCTTTTACAAAGTACTCATTAGCTAGTAATGCATTTTAAAAGTTCACAGATAGCCTGCTATTGGACCGTTTGCCCAGGAAAATTGAGATTTTAAAATTTGTAACATAACTGTCTTTAAGAATTGATTTTTGGAGAAAGAGAGGAAGGGAAAGAGAGAGAGGGGGACACATTGACTTGCTGTTCCATTTATGTAAGCATTCGTTAGTTGATTCCTGTATGTGCCCTGATTGGGGATGGAGCCTGTAACCTTGTGGGATAATGCTCTAAACTACTGACCTACCCAGCCAGGGCTGTAACAGAACTTTTACAGAAGTATTTTCCTTGTCACATACTACTCTTGCTACTTTATCGTTGGCCATGACTTAACTTACTGGTATATCAATGCAGGAACATTTCCTTGCAGTATAGTTTGGTGTAGCCTTTCTCCACACTTGTAAGTTCACAAGAAATTGTGTAGCAACCTCAGTGAAATCAAGATAATCCTATTGAATACTTTTCTTTTATAAACATGTATTGCATGTCAAGGATTTCTTTGGAGTGGAGGGGCCAAAGGCTCATTTGGCCTCACACCACTCAAGATGACTGTTAGGGCCCTGACCAGTGTGGCTGGCTCAGTTGTGCACCTGTCTGCCAGGTGAAGGGTTCACCAATTCAGTTCCAGGTCAGGGCACATGCCTGGGTTTCGGCTCAGTCCTCGGATGGGGCGTGTGCAAAAGACACCTGATCGAATTTCCTCTATCACATCGATGTTTCTCTCCCTCTCTTCCTCC